TTTTCTGTTCTCGGGGAAGTGTTGCGGCCGCAGTTTTCTAGAGATGGGTGCCGTCTACATTCGTCGACTACGCGTAAGTGTGACCCTTCGCCACGTGGCTAAGCGTGTCGCGCCGAAGCGCGGTGGGCCAGAACCCGCGGAGCAACGCTAACCGAAAATTCCCAACTCGGCGGTGGACAAACCTCCCTTTACTAAACCTCTCTTTAGTGAAAACGGCCTAGGACCGAAACCGACAGACCTGGACCTGCAAAAATGACGGCCGCGACGCCCTCTCGCGAATCGAAAACGGCCAATTCGCTAATCGACGTGTCAGGGTAGGAGGTCTATCCACCCCCGACCAACCGTAGTCTCTGAGCTGACGTTCCACTGGCTTCCACCGGCACGCCCGCCGCTTCGTTTCGAATTCCGCCAGCCCTCTGCTGGCCTCCTGCCGGGGGCGACACGCGCCGACAGCGAGGCCCTCTTCGAAACGCCTCACGTGCCCCGTGAAGCGTGCTCATTCTCGCGCCGCTTGCCGAAGAAGGGCAGCCCTCCAGAGCAGGCCGCGAAGCGCAACCATCGGCCTCGGGCGGTCTTGTGGCGGTCCTCGGTGGTCTCCGGCGGCTCCCCGCGGCCTTCGGCGCTAAATCTGGACAGTTGCGCTCAGCATGGGGTCCATGCTCTGGCTTGCTCTGGGAATTTCTTGGGGAAGCTTAATGGCGCCGATGCGTCCTGACCAGGATCTCGAGGCGAACCCTATCGGTTCCTTTCTGGGGCGCCCACAAAGGACGTACACACCCAGCTATGTACATGAGAACACGGCCCCTCGATCCGCGAGACCGGCCGCGAGATACGAACATTCGCGCACTGCGTACTCTCGAAACCAACGTGGATTCACGTACGTGTACGTCCTTCTTTCGCTCCGGACCTTTCCTCGCTCCTGACCTTTCCTCTTCGTCCAGGAGACCAGCTGGCCGGAGGAGCCCGACGCCGACTCCACCCGCAGCCCAAAGTCTGCGTGCCCCGGCGCGGAGACGACCTGCACGCCGGCGACCAGGACCGCCGCCCCGCGCGGCCAGTCCGCCGCCAGCCAGGACCTCTGCGCGCCCCGGCCAGACGCATGATCGATCGAGGATCGAGGATCGATCGATCGAGGATCGAGGACCGACCGATCGAGGGTCGAAGGAACGATCTATGATGATGCTGTTGATGATGATGCTGCTGATGATGATGATAGTGACTCTGATGCTGATGCTGATGATGATGATGCTGCTGATGATGATGATGACGATGATGATGATGCTTATGATGATAATGCTGCTGATGATGATGACGATGACCATGACGATGACGATGATGATGATGAGGATGAGGAGGATAATCACGGATCGATCGATCGAGGATACTGGAACGATCGAGGATAATTGATCGACCGATCGAGGATCGAGGATTGGTCGTTGGACCGAAGAAACAGAAAAACGTGCGACAATGAACCTTGCCATCTTCGGGAAACACGAGGCGGCATATGCAGAACCTTCGGAGCTCCGCGCGGTTTTTACCTAACAGCGAAGACTGATAGGTTTCTAGTGGTCTCAAAAGAGAGCATCATGACTCCCCAAGGGGGTCTGGGCAAATGCCGGACGGGTGCCGCGGGAATCCGGGGATCCGCGCCTGATATGGGCGAACTCAGTCGGGGGTGCCGTGGGTGCCCGCCTGATATGGGGGAACTCAGTCGGGGGTGCCGCGGGTTCTTGCCTGATATGGGGGAACTCAGTCGGGGGGGCCGCGGGTGCACGCCTGATATGGGGGACGTCAGTCGGGGGTGCCGCGGGTCCACGCCTGATATGGGGGAACTCAAGTGAGGCTGAGGCTGAGCAAGAGGCTGAGGCTGTGGCTGAGGCTGAGGCAAGCTGCGGCTGAGGCAGGCTGAGGCTGAGGCTGATGCAGGCTGAGGCTGAGGCAGGCTGAGGCTGAGGCTGAGGCAGGCTGAGGCTGAGGCTGAGGCTGAGGCTGAGGCTGAGGCTGAGGCTGAGGCTGAGGCTGAGGCTGAGGCAGGCAGGAGGCAGGCTGAGGCTGAGGCTGAAGCTGAGGCAGGCTGAGGCTGAGGCTGAGGCTGCTGAGGCTGAGGCTGAGGCAGGCTGAGGCTGAGGCTGAGGCAGGCTGAGGCTGAGGCTGAGGCAGGCTGAGGCTGAGGCTGAGGCTGAGGCAGGCTGAGGCAGAGGCTGAGGCCGAGGCAGGCTGAGGCTGAGGCCGAGGCAAGCCGAGGCAGGCTGAGGCTGAGGCTGAGGCTGATGCTGAGGCAGGCTGAGGCGGAGACAGGCTGAGGCTGAGACAGGCTGAGGCTGAGGCTGCGGCAGGCTGAGGCTGAAGCAGGCTGAGGCTGAGGCCGAGGCAGGCGAATCCTTCGGAATCCTTAGGATTCCTTAGGAATCCTGAGGAATCCCTAGGAATCCCTAGGAATCAGGATTCCTAAGGATTCCTAAGGTTTCCTAAGGATTCCCATGGATTCCTATGGATTCCTAAGGATGCTTAAGGATGCCTTAGGAATCCCTAGGAATCCTTAGGATTCCATTGGATCCTAAGGCCGTTGCCACTGTGACTGTCATTGCGAATGCGACTGCGACTGCGAGAACATTAGAATTCTACACCTGGATTCTCACCTGAATCTTAAGGGGAATGCTTCCAGATATGCTTATACACATCGCTGTTAGGTTGCTCTGCCGGGATAATTTTGAATCTGCGCTGGGCCCGCGCGGTGCTTCCAACGTTCATGTTTATGCCGTTTTGTGCCCCTCGAGAGAATCTTGGGGCACACTCTCCGTTGCGCCCTGAGGGTCCGAGGTGCCCCAGACACAACCCGTGGGCCCCAGAAGCCATCGGGGGATGGGCAACTTCTGTGGGGCACCTGCTGGCTGGCTTGTTTCTTCTTGGCCGTGCCGGCTGCACTGCGGCCCCGGACCACGCTGCCCTGCCACGACCGCCGCCTCCTCCGACCCTGAGGTCCGGGCGTTGCATTGTTTTCACGTCGGGCGTTCTCGCCTTGTTTCGGGCCCCAGGGCCACCGCAGACAGTCGGACCAGGGCCAGAAGAACATCCCTCAAGAACAGGAGAACCTCCGCTGGCCAAAATACACAGAACATCCAGGGGTACCCTCCCCAGGATGCGCAAGAGCATCCAACAACCACGAAGAACATTAGACTAGGGCACCCTCCCCGAACTGACCTCGACCATATACCTCGGTCTGACTGTATCGATCTGGCTCGGGGAATGCCGCAGAATGAGAGGGTCTGGGGCTGCGCCCGTGATTTTCAACGATGTTGGATCGGAGGAGGGCGACGGGAGGAAGGAAGAGCTCCTCCTCCTCCTCCTCCTCCTCCTCCTCCTCCTTCCTCCACCTTCTCCCTCCTCGTCCTCCTCCTCCTCGTCCTCCTCCTCCCTCCTCCTCCTCCTCCTCCTCCTCCTCCTCCCTCCTCCTCCTCCTCCCTCCTCCTCCTCCTCCTCCTCCTCCTCCTCCTCCTCCTCCTCCTCCTCCTCCTCCTCCTCCTCCTCCTCCTCCTCCTCCTCCTCCACGCAACGTCGGATCTCAGATGCCCCAGACCTCCGGCGCACGGGAAATCACTACAAAACACATGCGCCGTGCTCGGCCTCGGGGGGGCCCTCGCCAGGCCCGGGGCCGTCAATGAACCGGCTGGAGACGAAGCGCCGGCCCCGGGGCAGGAGATGCGGACTTCCGGGGGTCCTGTGCCCAAGAAAAACAGCACGCGAGCGACGATCAAAAACGGCTCTTACGCGAGATGACACAGCGATCTTACGCCGCGGCTTACGCGGGCCGCCAGCGCGGACTGCCGCATTAGAGATGAGGGCGCTTACGCGCGACCTTACGCGGGCAGCTTACGCGCCAGAGTCGGTGAAGACGACCCCCCTTTATTTGTGTCGCTCACATCGGTAGAGCGCAGAGAAACCACCCTCATCATAAGCACCCCGACGAGCGAAACCGTTTGATAAGCGTACCCAAACTAAGACGGAATCGAACATGGCAGGGCTTTTGATCAAAGCCCAGGGCTGCTCAGCAAACGCCAGTTCTGGGGGGTCGGGTGGGGGTGGCTTTTCCTTCCTCGAATCGGACCTCTGGGACTGCTCCTCCTTCCCCCATCGGCATTGGCCGCCCGGGCCAGCGGCAGGTCGATCGCCCGACCACCGCGCGATCGACTGGTCAACGGGCGGCGTAGGGCTGGGGCGAAGCCGCCCGCCTCATCTCGGAGCAGAAGTCCGACGCGAAGGCGCTGGGCGAGGGCATCTTCGGAGGCCAAGCGTCGTCGTCCGCCTCGCCCCACACCCGGAGCCGCACGTGAGCCCGACGCCCAGGCCGCGCGCGCGCTTCGAGGATTTCGACGCTCTCCTCCTCGGAGGGGGAACGATCGGGGGCGTGACCAGCGCGGGGAGGGAAGCGTCGACCTGGAATCGGCGATGCATCGCCCATAGATCGGCGAGGCGATCGGGAACTCTTGGTTCGTGTGTCGCTCCACCGGTTCTGGCCCACCGCGCTTCGGCTCCACGTCCCGGCCCCGAATCGCCAACGTCCCGACCCTCCCCCAGCCTCCCGCCCCGAGGAGCGGAGCGACACGCCAGCCGCTTGCAAGGCATAGCGTGCGTGTCGCCGAAGCCGCCGCCGCGACACGCTGTGCAAACTTGACCGCAGGCCCCCGATAATGAATCTGCACGTCCCTGGGCGGGGTGGGCTGTTGGGCCCCTGCTGGCGATGAATGGGCGGTTGGGGGTCGATAGGCCCCCCCCTGAGCCTATCCCCCTTAACCTTGTCCATGCTGGTTTTTCGGGTCGTGACTCGGCTGTCCGCAGGCCGTTCGGCACGATCCGGGCACCCCAGGAACGCACTCGACGAGGTGCAACTGATTGATGGAAGCCACATCAAAGCTCAAGAAATCCCGAGGTCAAAGCATCGCTGGGAACCGACGCAAACGCCCGAAAACCTCGAACCTCGAAGCCGTTCGTCCCCCCTGAGCCTACCCCCCTGAACGTTGCCCCCGATCCTCGTTTCTCCCGATTGTTGTGGCGACGGCTGACGCCAGAGCGCGCTGGAGGTCCGACTCCCGCGCCAGCTCCCCGAGAAGGACTCCCTCGGCCGCGTGGTCGGAGGACTCGCCCCACTGCAGCTCCAGCGTCGTGTCGAGGAAGCGTGATGTCGCCTCGGCCTCCGCCGCGTGCTCAAGGATGTGCCTCTGGGACTGATTCTCCTCCTCCTTCTTCTCCTCCTCCTTCTCCTCCACCTCCTCCTTCTCCTCCTCCTCCTCCGCCTCCTCCTCCTCCTCTGTCACAGGGCGCTCTGCGGACTGTAAAGATGGCCTCTGGGACTGGCGCCACACGAGCTCTCTGATGGCCTGCTCGTCACCCTGGCGGGCGTACTCCTTCAGGCGGCCCTCGTTGAAGCGCGCAACCTGCGGCGCCACCCGCAGCTCCTCGGGCGGGCTTGCCGCGTCGGCCGCCTCCTCTGCGCGGTCCGCGCCGAGCCTCTGCACCAGCGCATCGCCGACAGAGGCCAGGCTGTTTATCCACTCGGGCGCGTCACTGACACGCAGCCGCCTCGCGAACTCCACGCTGAAGTGGGCGCAGTTGCGGCGCAGCAGGTGGTACGAGACGCCCCCCCACGTCTTGCGGAAGTCCTTGAGGATCTCTATCACCTCTGAAGGGGCCCTGGGACACACAAAGAAATATACACAAATCCCAGGATATCCGATATTTTCAATATTTTTTGGATTTTCGTCTTGCCCCCCCTTCCAATATTTTCCCATATTTTCCGACCGACGATTCATCTTGTCCGTGTCGTTTTCTCCCGCCTGAACCTCCTGCGGCGAGCACGGCGTCCGCCCCAGCGGCACGCGCTCCACGAAGGTGCCCAAAGTGCTCTGCCCGACGTGCACGGGGTAGACTCCCGGCCCCTCGGCGGACCAGCCGAACGACCACTCCAGCCAAAACACCTGCATGGGCTCGCGACGGCCCCAGAGATCCGGCCGCATCGACAACATCAGGACGGACAAGCTTCGCCGTTTTTGGGCCTCTGGAGGCCCTCGCCCGGGCCCCGCAACACTCGAAAGACGACTCAGGATGAAAATCCGGTCCTTGGGATTATGATGTTTCGAACTACTCTAGCCTCGATCACCAGAAAAAAGATCGAGCACCAAGAAAGCACCGAAACTGGAGGGTTTTCACGTGTCGGGCCCTGGGAGGCGATACTCGTTCGACACTGTTTCGAGACATTATTTCTGGGATGTGGCCCTTGAGTACGATGGGAGCAACATAACCTTAGGAATGGGTCAAGACTTTCGGAGCCCCGCATGGGGAACATTGCGACACTGGATCTCTGGGGCCGAGGGTGACCGGCGCGCGGAGGGGGGTAGAGGGAGGGGGGGGGGGACGGCTTCTTAGCAAGAGGCTGCTTCCCAGGCGGCGCCAGCCTAACGTCTGCAGAGAAGGCCCGCGCCTGCTGAGAAGCAGGGGTGCTTCTAGAGAAGCCTTCCCCCCTCCCCCCATCCCCCCCCTCTGCGCGTGGCCGAGCCTGGCTGGCGGGAAGACCAGGGCCCTGCGTGGCCTTGCGCGATGGCCCACGCAGGCCGCCGACGCGGCTCAGCCTCCGCAGAGGGGAGGGAGCCCCCGCGGGCAGCTTGACAGGCGCGGATGTCCGCGTGGTCAGCCCCACTTTCTCTTGCACGCCGCTCGCCCTCGGCGATGGTGAGCAGAGCGCGACTCCCCCAGGTCGCCTCGCTTCGCGCATCATGCCCTTTGGGAGGCGACCCAAGATAGGAGGCTAAGACCATTAGGGATCGGGGGTCTCTTTTCTACAGAGGTGTCGAACCAAACCGCCCAAATGTATCACCCCTGGGGCAATGACGGGGCCCTCAGTGAGGCCAAGACTTCACTCTGCTATTAGGGTTAGATCGGGCCTGTCCCCCTACAGGGGGATTTTGGGCGAAAAAACAAACATACCCAGAACATACCCCCAAAATACTCAATCGTCCCCATACGATTTTTTTTGGTGGGACAATTTTTGAATCTTCCTCCTGTGGAGGGACCGGCCCGACTTACGGCTAGGGGTTCCCTCATCCTCGATGCTCGCGCCTCGCGCCCCACGCTGCGCGAATACATCATGGCGCTCTCGCGCCCTCGCGCCGCCCTCTCCGCGCTGGCCCAGACCGCGCCGTGCGAAGAGGGCGCTACTCCCCGCGCCCCCGCGGGTGAGATCCCGACCCTCTGCGGCGGAAGGACAGGGCAGGCCCGCGCGGATGCCTCGGAGATCTCCGATCGGGTGTTGCTAGAAGTGCCCCTGGCCCAAAATGCCCCCAGCTTTTCGCTCCGTTTTGGAGCCCCTGGGGTCCTCTGGGCCTCGTGAGGGGTGGCCTGGAGGCCGCCTGGGCCACCCCGAGAATCCTGGGGGTACCTTGGGCCAGGGGTACTTCCAGCAACACACGATCTGAGAGCCAGGCGGGTCTGGGTGATGCACCTGGCGCCGCGGCCGCGCCAGGTGGCGGACTCGGGGCCCCCGGGAGCCCCGAGCCTGGGGCCCTCTCCCTGGGCCCAGTCGAGCCCGCTTTCCGAGCCGCGCCTCGCCTTTGTCGACGAGGCCCCCCCCCCCACCGAAGGCCAACTGCCGTTGTCCTAATTCGCCTCCTCTGAACTGACATGCCACTTGTACTTCCCCCGCCTCCCGCCTGAGTATCGTTTCACCGATCCCCATCCCCAGCGGCGTGGCCTGGGCCCCGCTGGCCGATTTTTGCCCCCCCGGATGGGGATATGGGTCGTTATCTTCGGGCTTCGAGGGGTGCATCCCCGGCTGGTGTGGTGATTTGGTGGGGGTCTCGAAGTTTTTTTGTTTGTTTGTTTGCTTCTCTTTCGGCTGCCAAACGCACACCAAATGTCACGCCAGCGTGCGGCCTGTCGACGACATGCTATGTTGTGCACCTTGCCATGCTCAGCGCTAGCTTGACCTAACCTCGTGTTGGCATGCAGCATGCATTCAAACACTGCAGACCAGACGCATTGGGAACAAAACATTGGTGGGGGGGATGGAGATGGGGCTGGGGATCGGTCAAACGATACCGACCGCTGGCTTCCACTGGCACGCCCGCCGCCGTTGCGCTCCCGCCGGCCCTCCGCCAGCCTCCCTCTGCCAGTGCAGAGACACGCGCCGAGGGCGAAGCCCCCTCTCTTCTGCACGCCTTCCGCGCTTTTTTCCGCGCGAGGCGTGCTCACCCTCGCGCCGCTCCCCGCAGAAGGGCCGCCCTCCTCCTCCCGCTCCTCCTCCTCCTCCTCCTCCTCCTCCTCCTCCTCCTCCTCCTCCTCCTCCTCCTCCTCCTCCTCCTCCTCCTCCTCCTCCTCCTCCTCCTCCTCCTCCTCCTCCTCCTCCTCCTCCCCCTCCTCCAGCGCAGGCCGCGAAGCGCGGCGCACGGCCAGCTTCGGGGCCCCGGAAGCTGCATGCTCGACCACGGCCCACCTGGTGCCCGCCGGCCTCGGGCAGTCTTCACGGCGGTCTTCGGGGGTCTTCGGAGGTCCTCGGCGCGAGAACTGGACGGCTCGGCTCAGCAAGGGGTCCATGGTTTGGCCTGTTCGATGCCCGTGGGCGGAGGGTCTCTGGGCCCAGGCCCCCACATCGTGTTTTCCGCAGCGTGTTCCCCCAGATGTCTGGAGCCTGGACCCCTTCCACTGGCCTGGCTCTTCATCCCGAGCGCCGTTCTTGGACGGCCCTGGGCCACGGCGAGGGCCACCACAGCCGAAAACGTCGAGAACCTTCTGTCGACGTCTTCTCACGGCGCGAGGGGGTCTAGGCGGGAATAAAGACCTAGACATTCTCCAGTATGTTTTTTGTTACGGAATCCTTGTTCCCAGAGCTCCCCGCCCCTTCCCTGGGATAGTTTTGCGTCCACGCTGCGTTTGTGTTAGTCCCGGGGCCCAGTAATGGGCCCAGGGGGCCGAAATCGAGGAAACATGCTGGGACTGTGAAGAAGCCATCTGCTCGGAGATTTTGGGATGCGCTGTCCTTCGCGCTCGGGGGCGGCTCGGATCGCGGTGTGGGGGCAGTTTCGGCGCTCGTGGTGCGAGGGGGGCCCGAGCGGGCCGACGGGGAGGGCGGCACAGGGGGTGCGCCCTGAACAGCGTGGAGGACATGGACCTGCGATCAGGAACGAAAGCTGCAACAGACACGTGGGCGACGAACATGAAAGGGTCTTGCGCGAGATGACGTAGCGACCTTCCGCGGCGGCTTGCGCGGGCCGCCAGCGCGTCATGCCACGCTGGAGACGAGGGCGCTTACGCGCGACCTTACGCGGGCGGCTGACGCGCCAATTTCGGCACAGGCAGCCCCGCTTTTTTTTGCGCCGCTCACATGCGACAGACATCTGGCTGTGAGGCATCTCGGGGGCGCATCCTTCGGCGACTCTGAGCTTCGTAGGGTGCCCAAGGGCTCTGCTGCCACACCGGGAGGAGAGACGGCACCACCTAGGGGGCCCGAGCGGTCCCCTGGCAACTATATTCGCGCTCCGCGCTCCGCGACGCGCGATTATCTTATCGCTCTCGCGCCGACCCCCCCCCCCCCCCGGAACAGGAGTATGGACTCGGGACGCGCGAACCTCTTCGCCGCCCGCGACATGGAGGCCTGGAAGCGAAGAGTGGCAGTCGGGCCTGGACACAAGAGAGCCGAGCGGGCAGCGAAGCCTGGAGGCCAGGAATTTGCTAGGGCCAGTCGGGCCCGGGAACGGGAGATTTGAACGGGCGGCAGTGGAAGCATGAAGTTCGAACGCGCAGTGGGTGTGCATGCCAGAGATTCAAGAGGGCAATCGGGTCTGGACGCAGGGGATTTTCACGGGCGGTGGGGCCTGGGAGTACGGGGTTTGAATCGGCGATCTGGCCTGGACGCCAGAGCTTCGAACGGGCAGCGCGCGTAGACGGCATGGATTCGGGAGGGCGGTCGGGCCTGGAAGCCGGAAGCTTGAACGGGACGTGGGGCCTGGACGCGAGGGATCTCAGCACGGGCAGTCTGGCCTGGGCGCCAGCGATCTGCAAGGGCGGCGGGGCCTGGACTGGATCGACCCGCTGGACGGGGCAGTCGGGCCCGGGAGCCGGGGATCCGAGCTCGCGGCGGGGTCCGGAAGCTGGGGAGCTTGGCATTGGCGGTGGCCCGGCAGCCGAGGTTTGTGTTCCACGGGCGGCGGGGCCCCCGGAAGGGGACGAGTCCAGTATGGGGGAGTCGGGCCCGGGAGCAGGCCTTTTGCGATCGGGCGGTGGGGCCTGCTGGAGTCAGGGGGCTTGGACTGCGAGGCGGGGATTTAACCATATCCACCGCCTGGGAACCGACGCCCTGGTGCCCCAGCGGGCGGTGGATATGGATATATCTCGGCCCCCGGGGGCCCGAATATGTCCATATCCACCGCCTGCCAAGGCTCCGAAAGCTGACCCTCCAGGCGGTGGATACGGATAAATTCCCGCCTCGGATGGAGGAGCAGTCTGGCCTGGAAGCCAAAGGTTCAAGTGGGCGGCGGGGCCTGGAAGAGGGTGTCTCACCGGGGAGATTCGGGCCGGGAGCGAGAGGTCGGAACGGGCGGCCAGGCCTGGGCGCGCGGATTTGAATGGGCCGTCTGGGCTGGAAACCACTGAAGGGGCGGCGGGGACTGGGACAGAAGAGCTTGGTGGGTGAGTCGGGCCTGGAGGCAGGGGGTCTGAACGGGAGGTGGGGCCTGGAAGCAATGAATTTGGTGAGGCAGTCTGGCCTGGAAGCCAACGATTCGAACGGGCGGCGGGGCCTGGGGCCTGGGATACGGGAGGAATTCGATCGAGGAGTCGGGCCTGGGAGCAGGGGGTGTGAATTGGCGGTGGGGCCCGGAAGCATGGGATTTGAATAAGCACTCTGGCCTGGAAGCCAGGCAGGACCTGAACGGGCGGCGGAGCCTGGACTGAAGGAGTTCGGCTGGGGAATCGGGCCTGGAAGCAAACGATTTGAACACGCGGTGGGGCCTGGAAGCAGCGGGCGGTCTGGCTTGGGAGCAAGGGGTTCAGGCGGGTGGCGAGGCCAGGAATCAAGGGGATTTGGCGGGGGAGTCGGGCCTCGGGATCCAGGGGGTTTGAGTTGAGCAGGTGGCGTGGCCTGGAAGCACATGCTTTGAATGGGCAGTCTGGCCTGGAAGTTTTAGGGATTTGAGCGGGCGGCGGGGTAGAGAAAACAGAAGGGAATTGGATTGGGGAGTCGGGCCTGGGAGCAATGGGATTTGCAAGGGCGGGGGGCCTGGAACCAGGGAGTTCGAACACGCAGTCTAGCCTGGAGGCCAGAGGTTCCAACGGGAGACGGGGCCTAGAACACAGAAAATTGATTGGGGAGCTGGGCCTGGCACCACGTGATTTGACTGGGTGGTGAGGCCTTTTTCTGGTCCATCTCCCAGCCCGGATTGCCCATCCTGGGGCAGCGGGGTTTGGAACGGAGGGGTTCGAACGGTGAGTCGAGCTTGTAAGCAGCGGACTTGAACTGGCGGCATGGCTGGGAAGCAGAAGGGTCCCAAGAGAAGGAGCACGAACCGAAAATCCAAGCCTTCCGCCCCAAGAGGCGCCCAGGAGGCCCCAAAAGGCACCCTAGAGGCCCCCAATAGGCCCCAAGAGTTCCCCAAGAGGCCCCAGGAGGAGACTTCAGACGGCCCCCGAGAGGCCTCCAGACTGCCTCCAGGAGGCCTCCGAGAGGCCCCCCACGAGATCCCAACGAACATCCAATAGGCTTCATACCCGCAGCCCAGGCGCGGTGGCGGCATGGGCCGAAAACCATTGGATCCGCCGCCCCCTGTGGTCTTGCCACAGGGGTGCACGGCGTGCTGGATGTTTCAGGTTTTGGTTTTGGTTCTTTTTCTAAAAGAACTCCCCAGTGGGCTTCGGCCCGTCCCGCCGGCCACCCGCAAGTTTCCGAAAATCCATCTGTCAATGCCTTTGTTGCCCCAACTTGGCCCAAGATGGCCTCCAAGACGGCCAAGATGGCCCAAGATGGCCTCCAAGATGCTTCCAAGACGGCCAAGATGGCCTCCAAGACGGGTAAGATGGCTCCAAGATGCACCCAAGACGGCCCAAGATGGCCTCAAGATGGTCTACGACGGCCCAAAAGGCCCGCAAAAGGCCTCCAAGACGGCCCAAGAGCCCTCCAAGACGCCCTCCAGGAAGGCCCGAATAGGTTAAAATCATTGATTTTCCTTAGGTTTTTCAAGGATTTTGGCATGTTCTTCTTTTCAGCTCTCCGACGGCCCAAGACGGCCCAAGAGGTCCCCAACATCGCCCCAACAGCACCCAAGAGGCCTCCAAGATGGCCCCATGACGGCCCAAGAGGCCCCCAAGAAGGCCCCAAGAGGGCCTCAAGACGGCCCAAGAGGCCTCCAAGACGCCCAAGATGGCCTCCAAGACGGCCAAGATGGCCCAAGATGGCCTCCAAGATGCTTCCAAGACGGCCAAGATGGCCTCCAAGACGGGTAAGATGGCTCCAAGATGCACCCAAGACGGTCCAAGATGGCCTCAAGATGGTCTACGACGGCCCAAAAGGCCGGCAAAAGGCCTCCAAGACGGCCCAAGAGCCCTCCAAGACGCCCTCCAGGAAGGCCCGAATAGGTTAAAATCATTGATTTTCCTAAGGTTTTTTAAAGGATTTTGGCATGTTCTTCTTTTCAGCTCTCCGACGGCCCCAGACGGCCCATGAGGTCCCCAACATCGCCCCAACAGCACCCAAGAGGCCTCCAAGATGGCCCCATGACGGCCCAAGAGGCCCCCAAGAAGGCCCCAAGAGGGCCTCAAGACGGCCCAAGAGGCCTCCAAGACGCCCCTCAAGAAGGCCAAGATCCAAAGATGGCCCCCAAGATGCTTCCAAGACCGCACATGTGGCCCAATATAAACCCAGAGTAGCCAAAAAGGCACTCAAGAGACCTCCTCCTCCATTCCCCCCCTTCCTATCTCTCCTCTCCTCCCCGTCCTCCCCCACGTGTTCCCCGAAGGCTGTAAAGACCGATTCGGGGAACATATGGCCCAATAACTTGGCAGACCTCTGGCCACAGCAGTCGGCCGCATCGGCGCTTCCGAAAGGGCAGGGGGCGGCGGTGATTCGCCGTAGGCGTCTTCGATATACTTCCACCTCCGAGCCTGGATCTCAGGGCTGTCCGCTCCTCCTCCTCCTCCTCCTCCTCCTCCTCCTCCTCCTCCTCCTCCTCGTCCTCCTCCTCCTCCCCCTCCTCTGTGCCCCCCCCCCCCTGTCTGGCGATGGCTCTTCCCGGTGGCCGCACGGCCTCGACGCCCACGTGGTAGGCCCCGCCCAGCCCGGCCAGCCTCGTGAGCCCGCTCAGGCTCGAGGTGCCGTGCAGCTCGTAGACGGAGAGTGCCACCTCGACGATCGGGCGGCGTATACGGCGGGGGCATGGTATGTAAGAAAGAATATATATATATGTATATATATATAGAGAGAGAGAGAGAGAGAGAGAGAGAGCGAGACAGCCCATGGAGGTGCCACCGGACCGGCTGCACGCAAGAGTGATCCTCGGCAAGAGTAACCTTTGATGCGCGGCCACACCCAAGCGCGCAGGCCGCTGCCATCGCATCGCGCTCAACGATAGGGGGGCCCTTGTGGGCCCGCACCAAAAAGGACACTCGGGCGAAAGATCACTCTTACGTGTATCGGGCGTTGGCAGATCTGGGTTTCGTGGGACCTGGTTGAATGATGTGTACTGGGGGGCGCCCCCCAGGCCCCGTTCCACTAACCGGAACTGCCGTCACCCGAAAGACACCAGCTACGGCAGACCTGGCTTAGTGATTTTGGCCAGTTTAGGGGCTCTGGGGCCCTACTACTAACCGGGTCCTCTTAACTGGGGTCCTTGCTATACCCGAGTGTAGTCCATGTCGGGAGCGCCCTTATACCTCCAACCTTGCGCCGGGCTGTGGAACATACTACATATCGTCGTCAAGCGTCGGTCCGACGTGTGCTGTCCGCCTCGCGTGCTCGTAGCCGGCACCCCTGTGCCACGGCGCCCAGTCGAACGCCCTTCTGGGCACTAGTGCTGGAACCATTGGATACATTCGACTTTGAGTAGAGAGGACGCGCGAGAGGACAAAAACCCTTCTGAGGTCAACGTGGCGTTGAACCCGCGGTACCCTTGCTCCTGGAACGCAGCAGTCATGAGACGCCATACGCAAGAAAGAAGGGCACCCTCGATTAGGGAAATCGAACTACTAATCAAACTCGACTGCAAGGAATCCAGGGTCTGGAAGCCGGTGGAACTCCAATCGTGGATTGGTGAAGCCTCCTGGGCAAATTCCTTAACCAACGTCCCTGCCGTACTTCAGGTCTCCGAGGATCAGATGTTCTAAATCCTGGCGCTTTTCCCTTATGTCGGCCTCTGGGGTCCGTCATTGGGTCCTTTGATTATCAAAAACGGGTCCGGCATTCCACGCTACGCCTGGGGAAGGGGCCGGGAACTCTGGGGCCGCGGATTGAAAAACAATACTCTGGATCGCTTAACAATCGCCCCCCCTTGGAGTGCCTGGGGGGTTGGCCGCGGCGCGTCCGCGGGGGTGCCAGGGGGCGTCTGGGATTCGTTCCCTTCCCCGCTGGGGCGCGGGGGTGGTGCCGGGAGGGGGGTTGGCCGCGCCGCGTTTTCACGTTTGTCACCCCCCGGTTGATGAATAAGAAGTTCGAAGTATCGGAGGATGTCTGGGACAGCCGGCACACAACACGGCAACAACTGGCGCGCACGACCTGGCTCTTGCACGAGGAAGCGGCCCTCCTCCTCCTCCTCCTCCTCCTCCTCCTCCTCCTCCTCCTCTTCCTGCTCCTCCTCCTGCTGGGGAGTCTTCGAGGAGGACTCCGGGGTGGGAGGAGGGGGCCGGGGAGGCTGGGGAGAACCGAGGCCTGGGCTAGCCACGCAGGACTGGGAGGCTTGAGGCCAAGGCTACCGGGGAGGCCAGCTGCAGGGGGGCCCGGGGAGGCCACGACGGCATGACGACGAAGATGGAGTAGCCCGAAGCCCCGGGGGGGGGGGAGGGCCGGGGAGGCTGGGGGGCTGGGGAGGGAGGGCTGCCACCCAGCCAGGACTGGACTGAAATAGAGAGGTCTGAGCTCTAGGACACGACAATACAATATAAGAAACCGTGCTGTAAGAACCCCAGGGGCACTTCCTGCGCAAAAAAAAACCGGCCCCAGCCCAGAACAGGCCCAAGGACAAACCACGCCCCCGAAGCCTCAAAGCTCCGCTCCTTGGCGCCTCGACTTTGTGTCGCCAACTGCTGCTCCCGAGCCGTTCCTGGACGGCCCCGAGGCCCGAAACTGACTTGCAGAAGAGGGCCTCACACGGGAAACTGGCCGCCACGACATTTTCGAGATGTCAGGCCTTGGCATCCGCCGATCTGATCTTTACATCGGCGGCCCCAGAGCTCACGACCACCTCCAGGGTGTAGCTTTTCCGCCCGGATCCATTCTTAATGGCACCGGTGCCCGCCGAAATCGAGGAAGCCAGGGCCGAGAAGCCATGCCGTCGGAGATCTGGGCACCCGGACTCCCGACGTAGTGTTTGTTTCTCCCGTCGACCACCAGAGCCCTCGACCCATTCCCGGGACCTGCGTTCCACCCCGAGTATTTTGTGACGGTCCTGGGGCCCAGCGAGGGCCCCCAAATATCGAAGACGTCAGAAAACATCCCGCCGTGATTGTTTCACGGCGAGAGAGCCGAACACTGAACACTGCGCCCCCACGACACGCGGCACGGCCCTGCGAGGGGCAAGGCGGTGACGCCTCGGCGCCGACTAGTATGTAAAAATCTCATGCTGGGGAGGGGGAGAGGCTCTGAGAGGAGGGAAGGAGGTGGAGGAGGAGGAGGAGGAGGAGGAGGAGGAGGAGGAGGAGGAGGAGGAAAAAGGAGGAGGAAAAGGAGGAGGAGGAGGAGGAGGAGGAGGAGGAGGAGGAGGAGGAGGAGGAGGAGGAGGAGGAGGAGGAGGAGGAGGAGGAGGAGGAGGAGGAGGCCTACATTCAGGACGCAGCTGAAACCTTACATTCTCCGCTCCCGGCGCCTGGATCTTGCTGTCTCCGTCCCCCTCCATGGTGGCAGCTGCCCATCCCGAGCCGTTTTCTTGACTGCCCCGGGGCTCGCCCAAACTTGGCGGCGCGCCCAAGGGGGTAGGGAGGGGCAGTGGGGGAAAGCCTCTTAGAAGGAGGCTGCTTCTTATACGGCGCCGGCCCTGCATCTACAGACAAGGCCTCCTAATCAGCAGGGATGCTTCCAAGAAGCCTCCCCCCTCCCCTCCCAACCCCCCTCTGCGCGTGGCCGAGACAATGGCCTGCAGGGGCCACACACCTGGCGGCAAACTGGCCGCCTGGATTCTTTGAGGTGTCGGGTGTCGAGGTGCGGGCCACCAGATGTTGAGCAGGGACCGACAGTCCCAGCATTCCTACAGGCCTACCACGACATGTTCATAGAACCCAAAAATGTTCTAAGAACAAAAGCAAGGTTCTTAGAACATCAGCCCGATGTGTTAAAACAAGGCGGTCCAAGCCAGAAATGTTCCAAGAACATTTCGCTGAAACATTATTTGGTAGGCCTATGGGCGAGCCAAGACGCTTCGCCACTGCTTGCAGGGGCGCATCTTCTACTTGCGCCGGCCTTCCGCCGGCGGAGCGGCCTCGTCTCACTCCCGCCGGCCTTCCGCCGCAGAGGTGCCGAGGGAGGGGTGCCGACCCCCTCGAGCCTCGAGGGCGAGGCTCTCTCCCCAGCCTCCCGACGTCGTGACTTTTTCCCTGGGATCCTGGCGACTCGAGCTTTTCGAGCCGGGCGGTTTCGCTCAATTTCGGGCCCTGGGGCCCTCACACGTCGATCCGGCACGAGAAACGACGCAGGAATGTGGTGTCCAGGGTCCGGTCGTGATTTTTGCGACGTTGTTTTCTTTGCAGCGTCGGATCTCAAGGCTGTCGTGGCCAGGGGCCTCGACCCATCCCCCGGCGACGTTTTTTTTATCCCGAGTTGTTTTTCGATGGTCATGAGGCCCAGCGAGGGTCCTAAGAAGGCGAACCTCGCCCGAAACCGCCCGTCGTGATTCTTGCCTGGCCAGAGGGTGAGGGGCAACGATAGAGGGGGGGAAACATCGACCTGGAATCGGCAATACATCGCCGATAGATCGGCGATAGGCCTCCGATAGTGAATCCACACCTTCCCGGGCAGGTTGGGGCTATCAGGCCCCTATCGGCGATCAATGGGCGATTGGGGGTCGATGCATCTCCCCCTATGCCCCCCCCTATCGTTGCCCCTGAGAGGGGGTCTGGGTCTGCAACGCCCTGGGGGCGCCTCGGCCCACGGGGGCGGCCCGGCCGACTTGGAGGCGGCCGACGCGCGGCGCCGTCTGGCCGCCATCTCGCTGGCGGGCGCGCGCGTGGCTGTGGCCGCCTTGGCCCAGACATTGGCGACCGGCGGCGGCGGCGGCGGTCAGCCAGCTGCCCCAAACGTGCTGGCGTCGTGACGGACTCGCGACGGGAGGCTTTTGGCCGTTTTCGGCCCCCAGGGGGTCTCGCCAGGCCCTGGGACCGTCAAAGAACGACCCCGGACGAAGAACGGGCGCGGCGAGGCGAGGCGCTGGTCTCTCGCCCCGGAGGACGGCCCTGATTACAAGAACCCGGCGGGGGCGCCGGAGCGCCTATGAAGTTGTGATGGGATTGGTTCGCCCAGCCTAGGCGCGCACCGAAGATGCTCTGAGGCACAACGGGCCCCCTGCATGGGAAGCATCGGCCGTCCAAGGATGGCACGGGACGGAAAAAAACGGGCCCTGGGTTGGGCGTGGCTTGATGGGGGGGTCGTACATGGGGGGCCAGAAACGGTCCCCTTTCCTGCCCCTGTCGGGCCCCTCCGGAGCCCCAGGGGGCTCGTCTAGGTACCGTTGGGGTACCTTCTCGGACCCCCCCCCTTTATATGACCCCCCTGGGGAGAGGGCCCGGCCTCCCGGGGGCCCCGCACGGGAAGAGCTGGGACGTCGGACGTCGGCGGCCGAGCTTCGCTCTCCCTCGGCCCTCGAGGGGGCCGGGCCGCGTCCTCCAGGGGCGCCCCTCGGAGTCGCAGCGGGCGCGCCCCCGCCCGGCCTCGCGGCCCTCTCGGGGCCCTCGCGGGCCGGTCCGGATCGAGAGATGTGCCGCAGAAGGAGGGCTCCAGCCGTGTTCTACCATGGTGCATACGGTGTTGGCATTGGATAAGGAAGCAATGGATAAGGAATCCAGGGTCTGGAGGCCAGTGGAACTCCAATCGTGGATCGGCCGTGGATATCACCGCCACCCTCATTGGACAAGGAATCCTCCAGGGTCTGCAGCATCCTTGGCGCATTCCTTAACAAACGCCCCCACCGTAGTTGCAGGGCGTCGTGAGCGGCCAGCGGCGCTGGCCAGCGCTCTCCGGCCTCGTCCTCGGAGGAGGCCGGGGCAGGACCGAGGACCGAGGTAGTTCAAGGCTCGTTTTTTGGGGGCGCGTGTGCGGAATGACTCGACTTCCCACTTCCGAAGAGGTGTCCTTGTCATCATCATCATCATCATCATCATCATCATCATCATCATCACCATCATCATCATCATCATCATCACCATCATCATCATCATCACCATCATCATCATCATCATCATCAACATCATCATCATCACCATCATCATCAGCAGTAGCTTCATCACCATCAATATTACCATGACCACCACCACAATTACCACCATCACCGTCACCATCACCATCACCATCACCATCACCACCACCACCACCATCACCATCACCATCACCATCATCATCACCATCACCATCATCATCATCATCATCATCATCATCATCATCATCATCATCATCATCATCATCGTCATCGTCATCGTCATCGTCATCATCATCATCATCATCATCATCATCATCATCATCATCATCAGCAGCGTCATTCTCATCACCACCATCGTCATCGTCGTCGTCGTCATCACCAACGCCACCATCCTCATCGCCTGATGGTCCTAAGCGCAGAATGGTCATCACTTTTTGGACCCTGGTGCTCCCAAATGCAAAGCTGCCGCCGAAATCTGCTCCCCCAAAGGGGCCCCGATGTATAGCTGTAGTAGGATGGTGTTATCAGCAACTATGTGAACAAAGACACATCTACAGCTGAATGTAAAAACCATCTGGGTCTAACCATTCCAGAGCCCCTGTGGTCTCTTTCCCTGGTCTTCCAGCACACTACAAACTCCTCCTTCTCCTCCTTCGCCGCCACTTTTTGGCTCTTGGTGCTCCCAAGAGTAAACTATTTCGACGGTAAGGCCCGCGTAATAATCAGAGTGAGGGGGCCGAACGGTCATTCACTGTCCCTGGGTGCGTGGCTGAAGCGGGATTACGCGATGCGGATTTTTGTTATTTGTTTGTTTTTGTTTGGCGTCGTTCCCCCGGCGACCCACCCCGCGACCCACCCGCGACCCACCCCGCGACCCACCCGCGACCCACCCGCGAACCACCCTGCGACCCGCCCGCGACCCACCCGCGACCCGCCCGCGACCCGCCCGCGACCGACCCCGTGACCCGCCCGCGACCGACCCCGCGACCCACCGACATTGCTTTAACGAAAAATCGGCGCCTGCGGCGGGCTCGTTGTAGAGTTTGTGAAAATTCGGCTCCAGGGGCAGGCTTCTTCAGAGCCTCGCAGACTGCAAACGTCCCCGCCGCCCCCTCACTCTTATCCGCGATTGCGGGGTGCTACGTATCCCACTCTAATCTGGACGTAATCCTTATCGTCGTCCTTGCGAATGCAGATGCTCCCTTCCTGTCTCCTCATCGCCCTTTTCCTCTTCGCCCTGGCGGAGGCCCCCTCTCCCGCACCCTGCTCTGCCTCCTCCTCGTTCTCCTGCCTCCTCTCCCCCATCCACTTCCTCTCCGCCCTCTTACAAGGGCTCGCATGCTGATTTTCTGGGGCGCCCATACGGATGGGGTTCCCGCTTGCGACTTCCTGGCGATTCACTCACAGACGGGGCCCCCGCTCGAGGCATCCTCACGAATCCCCCCCCCCAAGGTGCTCTAATGCCACGCCTGCTAGAGTATGCCGGTGATCCGCTCGGATTACTAACGTGAAGCGCGGGCCCCATAAAAATGGCCCCCCCGACCGAGGCGTCCTCGCGGTTCACTCACAGACGGGACCCCGCTCGAGACATCCTCAAGATTTGCCTCTTACAGGCGCTCAACTGCTATGCCTGCAACAGTATGCCGCTGGCCCGCTCGGATTACTAATATGAAGTGCGGACCGTCTGTCTATTTACACATCTATATATACATATACGCATATACAGGAATATACATGTATATATATATATATGTATGTATGTATACAAATGTGTATATGTACACATATCTACACATGTAAGCCATTTCACCTGAAGGCCCAACTGGCCGAAGCCGCACCTCCACTCCATGGAGCCATAGTCTCTGGCAAATGTCTCCCTAAATCAGCGGGGAGCAGGATATCAGCAGCACAAGCAGGGAGACGGAAGCGGCTAGCAGGGAGGAAGAGGAAGAGGCAAGACCAGCACGGGGAGCGGGAGGAAGGCGAGCGAGAGAGGAAGCAACAGAGCAGGAAGGAACGCACGGAAAGCAGCGCGCAGCATCAGGGGGACGGGAGGCAAGGAAACTGAAGGCTGAATGAAACACTAAAACGGTGTTAGGAAGCGCGGAGTCCCTGCCCCGCAGGAAGACACGACGGCATCCAGAGGCGGCCGGAGCCGCAAGCAAGATCTAGCAGAACTCGAGCAGTCTGGTGGCGAGCAGGAGCAGAGGACAGAGGGAAGGACGAGGGGCGGGAAACGGTGCAGGAAGGCAGCGCAAGCCGAATGACATGTGGCATGTCTCAAACTACAGGTGGGGTCGCGAATCGCGGGGCCAAGCGCCGGACCAGGCCGCCAGAGTGCAGCGAACGCACAAGCCAGGCGCGGCCCCCTTGCGGGTGCGGCTCACCAGGTCGGGCGGCCAAGCGTGAGCCGGCAGGCCCCCCTCATGCAACCAACCGGCGGCAAACCAACTCACGTTACACATGCCAAGGAGGGAGAATAAGGAGCAGAAATGCCCAAATTGACCAGAACTAGAACACAGGCTCACTACAAGCAGGCTGGCTTCAGAGCGCAGTGAGGCATGCGAGGTGGAGACCTCAGAAATGATGAACAGAAACGTCGTGCACCACGATGTCGAAGTCCTGTGCTGCTCACCGTGCTCCTGCTGGTCCCTGGAGTGGTGGAGTCGGACTTGGAGCTGAAGATGGAGGAGACGCTGGGTGAGGGGCCCTTAGCCAGTCTCAGAGGTCATGGCCAGTGTCAGAACTGATGCTGTAATGGGTGCTGGGGTCGGCGCCAGAGCAAGAGGGGGGAGTGTAGTCGGGGCTGGAGTCGGCGCTGGTTCTAGAGCCAACGCGTCTGTCGGGGTAGATGTTGGAGTCGGATTCGGTGTCGGAACTGCAAGCGACGCAGCGTGGCATGATTCGCAGTCCAGTTGTGTGGAAGCTCCAGTGGTGCGTAGCCTTCTCGCTGTATTGTCTAGCGGTGCAGAGCTCGAGGAAAAGCAGCCTCCCATGCAGTCCGCTCTTTCTCCCCGAATGTTCCACGAAAAAATGGTCTTTGAAATGCTGTACAAGGATGTCGGCGTCGGAAGGAGAGTGGGGCGGAGGAACACAGGCTGGAAGACGTCCGAGAAATCACGTACAAGAGCAAATCGCTCCACTGCGCAACACGAGGCGAACCGTCGCCGTGAGGCCCGGAGACGATCTGTGATGGGAAAGTCGGTGGACAAGCCAAGTAACCACCGTGAGTAAAACAAATATCAAGGACGTGGAAGGGGTAGGGGAAGCCCAACCTGCCCTTGTCCCGGAGCCGGAGGAGAGCCAGAAGTAGAGAGGACGATCGCCAGCTGCTTGCGTTGTCGCACTGTTGGGTGCGGCAGCCCGGTAGCAGAACGGCACCAATCATACCCACAGTGTTCCTGGCCACCTCGCACATCTCAGTGCTGCTCTCGCTGAGTCACCGTGGTCGCCAGAATAAAGAAGACGACAGTCGGAGAGATGCACGCCGTTTGGATTGCCACACAAACATGTGTCTATGCACTTGTCAGGCCAATCCCACACCTGTCAATACATATTTGAAACCATTTCCTGGTCGAGATCTAGGATATATGACCCCTTCCGTCTTGGCCGACGCCCTTCATAGACGCCATTGGCTGTACCACAGCCGAGCCCGGGCTAACAGGTGGGACGGCACTGGAATTCGTGTCATTTTCGTTGCGTCTTGAATGTGGTGTAGTTTATGTTCTCCGAAGACCTCTGAAATGTTGCTGCGGATGGTGATACAAGTTGCACTGGTGTTGCTGCGTGCGATGCC